ATTATTTATTTCTTCTTCACTGAAAAAAGTCTGACAAGCCAAAAAAAAAAAAAAAAAAAAAAAAAACGTCAAAGTTGAAAACTCCCACGGGGGTGCTAGAACTAGTCTTGGACAGATTATTTATTTTCTTGCCCAGTCGGGAACAGATTATTTATTTTCAACATTTTCGAGGACAGATTATTTATTTCCAAAATCTGTAAGCCCCCCCCCCCCATGAAATGATCGTCCCCTAAGCAACAGCTTGCAATGCTGTTACCTACAGATTTTATTCGCTACTTTGCTTTCCATGTCCAACAAGTAGAATTAATGTTCTAAAAAAAACTGGCTGTTGATTACGTCAAATAAAATTAATTTTTAAATCCTTGTCCCATTTACCCCTCTGAAAATGTGGTATGTAAAAATAAATATTTACTGAAAATATATTGTATTTAGCCGGGACCATATTTGGCAGAAATTTGTAGATTTGAGCGCTTTGCTGCATGGTCTAAATAAAAATATTTTATATACTTGAATTACTTGATTTAAAGGATACCGTTTTCCGCCAGCACGCTTGAAAAGAAAAATACACAGCCAAATGTAAGGATACGTCTAATCAACGAAAAAAAGCAAGACAAAACAAACAGAAAAGAAACGGTAAGAAAACAACACATAAAGAAAGTAAATTGGAAGAACGAAACTAAAGAAAATGACTGTTGTTTTATGTCCCTTGCGAGAATTTTCACTAATATAAGACGTAAAAAACCCTAATCTGAAGAGAAACATCTAATAATCATTTCATAGATATTCAATTAATATGTTGACGGTGCGACCGTTGGGGCGAGCGCAGTGTTCACTTCATTATTATGATCCGCCTCTTCAAACCGCACGAGACAGACTGTGACGTCACATGACGTCGTATGTTAGCTGCATTTCCATAAACAAAGTTTAAAAAGTGCAAATATTTTAACAAAGAACGTTTAATCTACTATCTGCATGCAATATCCATTAAATTAAGGTGAGTTAATTTTGTGTGAAATTTTAGTTGTTGTCACCGCGTGAACGAAGTTAGCAGCGAGAACAAGAAGCGATGCATTGTGGGTCAGAATTACTGCGGAAAAAAATTCTATTGAATGAATGTGCAGTAGTCCGAATTTTCTCTTCGCCCAGGCGTTGTCGTTAGAGCTCGCAGTGACGAGCGGCGCTTCGCGCCGCTCGCTGCGCTCGCTATTATGATACGGGTCACTTGAAAGCAGATAGATGTGAATTTCTTTTTTATAAAAATTAGTTTAGCTTATTTTTCTGCACTGAATACCGGATAGATACGTCAAGCATGACGTCGCGATATTTTACGACGTCGTTCTTAAAAATGTTACATTTTGCGATATAAAAGCAATAATTCACATTTAAATTACGCGAAAACTAACCCGAAGACATATTAATTTTTTTACATTGATTTATTTCAAATCAATTCTTTGTTAAAATACCAAAGGGAAAACAATTTCGTCTGCACCATTTAAAAGTTATTGATATTTTTTGAAACAAAATCTTGCCTCAAAACGAGCTGAAAAAGACGTTTTTCTCATATAATTCAATAGAATAACGTCGAAAATGTAATGACAACAATGGCATGTTTGGGATTTAATTACACAAGAACGATGCAGACGAATTTTATAAAATTTTCGGCGAATATAAAACAAAGGTAGAGGATTCATATAACTAATTTTCATGGTATGTTTTCGGACACTTTTAACTGGTCTGCAAACCCGCGACCTACGTTAAGATTTGTCGTAAGAGATTCTTAAGTTAAAATCTTACGCAAAAATCTAAGATTTTTTGTGAAAAGGGCTACAGTTCGTCTTTTAAGTCATTACATTTTCTTTCTTGTTCAGATTTTGTTAAACATAAATTAGAGAGAATCTTTATCAATTTGACTGTTTTGACCATGCTTGTAATCAGTTGTATATGGTTGTTTGTGCTTATGGTTTTCTCTTTGCAGGGATTTTTGAAGAAAGACATCTGCCTCAAAATGGTCAATCTTCAACAGAGATATGAAATATGTGGAGATAACGAACAGTATTCGAGCTCAAAAGTTCATTCAACATTACAAAATAAGAGCAGAGCAAACACGGACCTCTAAGACATCAAAGGTGGGATCAGGTGCCATGGAGGAGTATATAGGATATGCGTTTCCTTTCACAAGCTCTCTTTGCATCCTTCAAAATACAGATCCTTGAATTTTGACAATTAGTGTTGTATGTTTGACAATGTCGACGACAAGAAACTGCCTATGATTTCATTGGTCATTCAAGTATTATATTTTTATATGAATTATAAGATTGAATTCATTGCTTTAACAAATTTGATTACAGTTTAATATAGAAGGTATAAAAAAAAAGATCCTGTATATTACATTCTTTTTATCTGGACGTAAATGTTTAATTAAATGACAACTACTGAATGAAAAATTTGACAATCAGGAAAAACAAACAAACATACCTAAGATGTGGAAAGTAAGAACGACTGAGCACAAAAGCATATGATTCTTCATCTAAAATAGATCATTAAGGTTAATGCTCATGTCTAAAGAGTAGAACGACTGAGCACAAAATCATACAATTCTTCATTTAAAATAGATCATTAAAGATAAAATAGTGTTTAAAGAGTAGTACGGCTGAGCAAAAAATCCATCTATTCTCTTCATCCAAAACAGATCATTAAAGTTAACGTTCAAATTTAAAGAGTAGTGCGTTTAATTCATTTTTTAAACTTATTACTTGCTTTAAGTTGTTTTTATTTTTCATGCTTTTTAGAGAGAAAGATCTGTAAGTATCTACATGATAGTATGTCATTTATTATATTTATATTTTATCACCAATTATTTACAGTATTATAGCAAATATTGTTTTGGTTGAACATTCCAGTGACAAAATCTTTAGGCACTAAATCTAGGGCACCAACTGCATATTCATTGTGAGAATATCTGGAGTTTTCTAGATTATATTTATGAATATTGTAATTATGATGTTTTAGAAAAATTTGATTAATTCAAGTGTTGAATAAGATATATTTTGAATTTCACTCCAGATAATATAAACTTGGTGGGTAAACTTGTGCTTAGAATTTAATTACAATTGTAATTGCATTCCCTTTTTTTTCTATGATCGTGTAAGAGAACTACTTTTTAAATCAGAAAGATGTTATTTTAAAAATATTCTAAACAAGTTACTCTTGCAGCTAATATGAGAATTCAGTATTATTGAAGGAAAATGTTTTTTTAAGAAATGAGTACAGTCACCTAAAATATGACCCGACAGTGAATCTTATTCATAATTGCATATATTAATCCAAATAACAAAAGAAGATTTGTGGACAGTTTCATGTCTGCCTCCTGTTTTTAAATTCATGTGATAATTCTTATATAGCTTATACTTTTGTGGCGAAATCACAGAACACTATGCTAAGGAAGACTTGATATTGGTCATTTATAAATAAGCGACCAAATGTTGCCACTTAATTAATTAATCACATACTCGTCAGCTGATTAGATAATTGTCCTTATAATTAATAACTAGAACCGGTCGTTTGACTAGAGTTTATGGGATTAACATATTGGAACAAGACATCAAAGCAGTCTGACAATGTAGGGTCACTACAAAATTTGTAGTAGGAAGGTTGTCCCAGAAAAAAGCTAACCTTTTTAAGTTTGAAATTTCATAGGCGTGTAGTACCAGCATTTGAATTCCAAAAAAATTACTTTTGTCTATTTAAGTCAATTCTTTAAATCTAAGCCAAAAAAGAATCTTGATAAACAAGTTTTCTTACATAAAATATGATTTTGAATTATCCTAGTTTTTCTTACTTCGTTGCACTCCTGACGTCTGATGTGTATTTTATCAGGCATTGTTTTAAAAATTATAACACACAATAACTCGTTCAAAGCTTGTAAATCAATTCGCCGTTTTGATATTTTTTTTAATCATTAACGACATGTTATATATATATATATATATATATATATATATATATATATATATATATATATATATATATATATATATATATATATATATATATATATATATATATATATATATATATATATATATATTCTAGATTTCAAAATATGATTATTTGCTTGTGTAATATATATTAGGAAATATATGTTAAGTGACGAAAACTATTTTATGAATTGACTGTAAAATTTCCAAACAATATCTGTTATTTAATGATAGACATAGTGATTTGTATTACAAATAGTATCAGACATTTTCTGCGATTTATTTTTTAATAATGATAGATAAAGTTCCGTGATAATTATAAAGACATAAAATAAAGACATCGAAATGTATTATTTTGATGTTCGGTGTTTGATATATGTAGTTAGAGAATATTTAATCACATTGAACTAATTGCAATTTGTGCTCAGAACCTAAGATTAAAAATTTAATTAGCGTATTTTATCGAGATGAATTATTTCTAATTTCCATATGCAGTTGACGTTAGATTCGTGATTTCAGAATTTAAATTTTTAACATAAAAATAACTACTAGTATTTGTTTTCTCTATACGAATACGCTGTGATTTTTTCTGAGACCAACCTTTTTTGCAAAAACTACATTCGCGTAAATACGCGTAAAACTTCCTATTAGTAAGTGCCTGACAAACAGGAAATGGCATGTGTCTGTGAGTGGGAATTTGATTATTTAGAACATGTAAATCCATGGCAAGTTACTGATATGACGGGACTTTTTTTTTTAAAAAAATGTGTTCTTCGGACAATGTCGTTGGTTCAAGACCTGAAGTTTGTATTTATTATATCCCGAACACACCAAGCAAAGGTCTATTCCTTGAGAGATGACCTTCATGCAGGATCAAGATCGATATTTACTTCATTGACATCAATATACGAAAGGATCGGTCTCTTTCATATAATGGTTCCAAAAGATTGGCAATTTAAAGCAAATATAACATTCTATGGCAAAAGAAAAATGCATGTAACTCCGAATCTAATTTATTTAAGCTCAACATCTTGTACTTTCACATATGTACCCCATTCTCTGGGTCCCAAAAGGAGAAACGTAACCCCACTGGTAACCTCTCTTCATAATAAAAGCGTAGTTTGTGACATCTTGGGAGCGGGCCATAAAAGCATTGTCGGACCCGGGGAAATTCTGGTAGGTCATACTGGACCCATCGGTCCATCTCCATTCACCTCTACGATATTCTCCTCCAATGAACCATCCGTCGGCATCAAATCCAGCTGCAAAAGCAAGAGTACTCCCCTTATTATGATTTATATATAAATTATCATAACGGAAATCTGCCTAATTTACATTATGTTTATAATTGTAATGAAGTAAATCTTCCTAATTTACATCATGTTTATAATTGTGATAAAATAAATCTGCCTAATTTACATTATGTATGTAATTGTAATAAAGTAAATCTTTCTAATTTACATTATGATTATAATTGTAATAAGGTAAATCTTTCTAATTTACATAGTGGTTTCAAATACCTTTTTAAAAGAATTTTTATTGAATAACACATAACATTCAAACCACAGTATGAAATATTACCTAAAATGTTTACAAAATATTAGAATTTATACGTACATATTTTGGAAAATAAGTTCGTCTTTTAACTCAGTATATTTTCTTTTTTGTTCAGGTGTTGTTAAGTATCAATTAGAGAGGATCTTTATCAATTTGATTGTTTTGACAATGCTTGTCATCAGCTGTATATGATTGTTTGTGCTTACGATTTTCTCTTTGTAGAAATTTTTGAAGGAAGACATCTTCCTCAAAATGGTCAATCTTCAACAGGGACATGCGTTTCCTTTCACAAGCTCTCTTTGCATCCTTCCAAGTACGGATCCTTGAATTCTGTCGGTTAATGTCGTATGTTTGACAATGTCGACGACCAGAGACTGCCTCTATGATTTCATTCATGTCATTCAAATTATATATTTTTCATATGACTTATGATGTTGAATTCATTGCTCTAATAATTATGACCGTAGTTAAAAATAGAAAGTATTAAAAAAAATCCTGCGTATTACATTCTTTTTTTATCTGGTAAATGTTTAATTCAATGACAACTATTAAATAAAAAATTTGACAATCAAGAAAAACAAACAAACATACCTAAGATGAGGAAAGCAAGAATGACTGAGAACAAAAGCATATGATTCTTCATCTAAAATAGATCATTAAAGATAACATTAATGATTAAAGAGTAGTAAGACTGAGCACAAAATCATACGATTCTTGATCTTATAAAGATCATTAAAGTTAACGTTCCTGTTTAAAGAGTAATGCGTTAAATTCATGTATACATGTATATATTTTACAAACTTTTCGATTGATTTTAGTTGTTTTTGTTTTTGTTTTTTTTGAAAGAAAGATTTGTAGTATACATATATTATCATGATATTATTAGTCATTTATTATATTCTTATTTCATTACCAATTATTGACAGTATTAAAGCCAAAATCGTTTTGGTTGAACACATCAGTGACATAGTCTTAATGCACTACGTCTGTTGCACTAAAGGCACTCATCGTAAGAATAGCTGGAGTCTTGTAAAATATATTTATGAATATTGTAGTCGCCCGCTTGGCGCAGTGGTTAGAGCGTCTGCTCTAGAGTCGCGAAGTAAGAAGTTGATCCTTACGTCGCGGGTTCGAATCCCACTGTGGGATTTGGAGACCGGTCCTTCGGATGAGACCGTATAAACCGAGGTCCCGTGTCGCAGTAGGTGCTGGGACAAAAATTGGACAAAATTTGCAGCTCTCCACCGGCAAGTGGTGGCGTCTCCATATGAATGAAAAGTTCTCGAGAGGGACGTTAAACAACATACAAATAAATAAATAAATAAATAAACATGAATATTGTAATTATGATGATTTAGAAATATTTGATTAATTCAAGTGTTGAATAAGATATGTTTTGAATTTTACACCAGATAATAAAAACTTGGTAGGTATACTTATGCTTACATTTTAGTTCTATATAATTGCATTCCCATTTTTTGTATGGTCGTATAAGGAATCAACTTTTTGATCAGAAAGGTGTTATATTGAAAATATTCAAAATAAGTCACTCCTGCAGTTAATCTAACGATTCAGTATCATTGAAGGAGAATGTTTTTTAAGAAATGTGTATATTATTAAAAATGACGCCACAGTGAATTTTATTCATAATTGCATTATAAGTACAAATGACCAATATAGCTTGTACTTACTTTTGTAGCGAAATCACAGAACATAATGCTGAGGAGGACTTGATAGTGGTCATTTATAAATAAGCGACCAAATGTTGCCATTTAATTAATTAATCACATACTAGTCAGCTGATAGATAATTGTCCTTTTAATTAATAACTAGATACGGTCAGTTTGACTAGAGTTTATGAGATTAACATATTGGAACAATGCATCAAAAGCAGTCTGACAGTATAGGGTCATTACAACTACATTAAGTACGAGGGTTGTCCCAGAAAAATGCTAACTTTTTTAATATTTCAGAAAATACCAGACCAAAAGTTTGTTTTTTTTTCATTGTACGGAATTGAAATTTTTGTCATTTTGACCAAATATTATATGGTTGAAATTTTATATGCGTGTAGAACCAGCATTTAAAGTGTGCTTGAAATCGGTGGTCGGCGCATCACAATTTTTTTACTTAATAATAGCATTGCCAGCGATATTTTCTATATTACCATATGTTGTACAGAAATGTAATGTGACAAAATATACATCCATACAACCATAATAACTCTATGATGTTAAATACTAATGTGTAAAAATTAATTAAATTGACATTTTAATGCCAAAATATAAGGATTGTCAAAACTTGGCGACATCGGGCGATAATGCAGCACACCAAATTATCATCCATTACTTTGTTGAGCGTGATTTGACTCCTGTTCATACTGGAATAGAGATGGAAACGAATTCGGCGAAAGAGGCGTTTGATAAACAAACACATATGACGAACGAAAAGAAAATTCAGTAGCTGGACGTCATACTTGGAGTTGGGTTTATTCTCGATGATTGGAAATTTTCTATCTAAATTCATTGAAAATTTCAATTTTAAAGTTAATAATATTAGTGAAACAAAAATTTTGAAAATCTTGGCGGTTTTTCTGGGACAATCCTTATATAAGTATCTAGAACAAGATCCAAGTGTCTTCCCTCTTTTAACATATGTTGTATATTTACAACAGAGCGATGATTAAAAACATTTTCCTTCAGGATATAAAGATACATACATATTTTTCTTGACATTTAATATTTTATCTAGTTTATGCACTTCATTTTATTAATTTGACCGTAATTACATGAGAGGCAGCTGTTACAAAGATCGTTAATTTTACAGATCGTATCTTTAATCTGTTTACCTTTGTTAGTCTATGACATGTTGTTAATCAGATTTTTAAGCCCCTATAATCAAAGATTTGGGGGCGTATAGTTTTTGCTCTGTCTGTATGTCTCTTTGTCCGCAAAAAAAGTTAACCTTGGCTATAACTTTTGATTGGAAAGAGGAAGGGCTTTCATATTTCACATGTGTATTTCTTTAAAAAAAAAAAAAGGTCTTTCTTTTGGTACCAGCAAATTTGACCTCTTGACCTTGACGTTTGACTCACTTTTGCAAAATTTTTCCAAGTTTTAACCTTGGCCATTACTTTTGAACGCTTATTGAGAAGCATTTATACCAAACATGTGATCTTCCCTTGGGTATCAATAATTTTGATTTTTGGATCTCGACTCTTGAGTTTGACCTACTTTTGAAAAACTTTAACTTTGGCTATATCTTTTGAACGGTTGATGCTAGTGCTTTCATATTTCACATGTGTATTTCTTGTGACAATTCCTTTCTAAGGTTTTAACAACTTTAATTTTTGATCTTGACCTTGGAGTTTACCTTACCTATGAATAACTTTGACCTAAGCCATAACTGTTGAATGCCTGGTGCTAGAGCTTTCCTACTTCACATGTGTAGTCCTTGTGACAAGACAGACCTTTCCTTGGATATGAATATTTTTTACCTTAACCATGGAGTTTCAGCTTCTTTTCAAAAACTTTAACGACCATAACTTCTGAATGGTTGCGCAAAGGCTTTCACATTTCACAGGTGTATTTCTTGTGAAAAGGCCTTTCTTTTGGTATCACATTTTTGATCTCTTGATATTAGCTTTGGAGTTTGGCTTGCATTTGAGAAACTTTAACTTCGCCATTGGCTGTCATAGACATCAGGTTTTACAAATACGTCTTGTTTACTTTATATTAAACTACTTCGTGCCAAGTAAGCTATCAAAGATAAATTTTAGCGAATATGCATAAGTATAAAATTATTGAGTTTATTTTAAAATTATTGAGTTTATTTTCAAATAATTATGATATTGTTTATTTGTATGAACTTAAATTAGGTTAGACTACACCTTCCTCGAATATCTGTTTTGTATCTCTTTATAATATATAGAAAATTATTCATAATTATCATTATCTTGTGATTTTTAAACTTTTTTTTTGAAAACGTATTAAAAAATACATACAACAAAAATTGTGATAACAATTTAAGAGATTTCCAATAGGATTATGTAGGAAACACCATCATCTGGTATTTTGCACAAATGCCTGGTTAGGTATCTCAATTTTTTTTGTGAGGAAACTTGTTAAAGTTGCAATACTTCAATGACAAATTCTTAGGAAAAATTTTATATTATTGAGGAACGTGTCGCCTGACCTGAAACGGATTAAAGGGAATTACATTTTGTAAGTTATTTATAATAAGAACTTTGGAATACTAGAATTTGAATTAATTTCATATCCTCATTACATGAAAAATTGCAAAATCTGTTTAATCAAAAAATGATGGTTTCAGTTTGCAGTTTTGATAAAGTCGGGAACTGTAGAGCAGAGTTGATTTTTTGCAAAAATAAACTTAGAAGAGTGGATTCGGGAGGAGGGAAAACTAACGGGCTCTTCTTCAAAATTTTCAATGTTTTTAATCCAAAATTAGCTTAAATTGTCAGTACCCACACCTATAAATGATATCGTTATTAAGTGTTTCAATGTTGGATCATTCATACTATGTTTTGTGTGTCAGATACCTGTTGTTACCTCATATACCATTGTATGATCTGAGAGTAATGAACAAACAGGAAATTATTTATTTTACATGTTTCTAAAGGAATTATCTTTAAAATGTGTATTAATTTGACTGTATATTGCTGTTTTTTTTATCAGTCGATACGATGATTTAGCCAACCTCGAAGTACAATATTCACCGAGTACAAAGGATATTATATATTTCAATGATAAAATGAAACAAACTCGTTTAGCAAACCCTGTCATCTTCCTTGATTTTTTCACATTTTTGAAGTCCTAGCATATATTAATATATATTTTATATGTTATAGCGCAGGATCTGGCAAATACATTTATTTTAATAAAAAATTATTCAATTAAAAAGAATATTGTTATTTCTATATTTGGAGACTTAGTGCAATGTTTAAAGATCTCTTGCAAAAGTATGCAAATATGCTGTGAAATCGGTGATTATGCAGGTACCTTGATATTCCTGTGAATACCCTATCACTTGATTGATTTCTGTCTAACATAAACGTGAGGTCTGGTTACCTATCGCGGCACGATAACACTCAATATATTTCTTATCACTACACTGCACCGTTAAAGTCTGCTGCTGTTGTTTTTTTTTGTTTTTTTTTTGTTTTCCTTAGCTCATATCCACAGGTATGTTGTCCTTAATTAGATTATATTTTTAATACGGTTAATTCCAAGGCAAGATTCGTTATTATTTTATTCTTACTTAAGAAATTTCACTGTTAAGACTGTGTTTTCCGAAATATAAATGCGTGTATAAAACTTAATTTTTACCTTATTTGCATGCACTTTATAATTGAAACATATTTTGAATTGAATATA